CGCCTGAGGTCAGGAGTTTGAGACCAGCCTGGCCAACATGGTGAAACCCCATCTCTACTAAAAATACAAAAATTAGCCGGGCATGGTGGTGTGCGCCTGTAGTCCAGCTACTCTGGAGGCCGAGGCAGGAGAACTGCTTGAACCTGGGAAGCAGAGGTTGCAGTAAGCTGAGATGGCACCACCGCACTCCAGCCTGGGCAACAGAGCAAAATTCTGTCTCAAAAAAAAAAAGCAAAAAGCAAAAACAACAACTAAAGAACACTAATGAGTAAGTTAGGGACTTCCTACAATATAAATGGCAAAAACAACATTTTAGTCCTGAGCTTCCTTTTGAATCATTTTTTTTTCCCCACCCTCTGCAGGCTGCCAGGACAGGCCTCCTTCTTGGTTTTTCCCTGCCAATTCTTTCTAATTCCAACAAGGGTTTCTCGATTTCCCTGATTTGCTGTCAAACAGAACTCAATCCCACATTTTTTTTCACTACCTTCCTGCTTCTATGATGAATATAACATCTTTCTGAGGTTTTCTAAATTTATTTTCACTGAATTCCTTGAGAATTACTTGTATGTATCATAACACTTCATCCCTAAATAGATCAGCCTACACAAACTCAGAAGATTTATCATCAATACTATTATATAATATAGAGGCCATACATTCAGATTTTCCTGATTGTCCCAATAACGTCCTTTATGGCTTTCTTCTCCCACACCAGGAACCAATCAAGATCCACACACAGGATTGAGTTTCATGTATTGTCAGCTTTTTTGTCTTCCATATTGTTGGTATTTTTTAAGAGTCCAACTGTTTTATAAAATATCTCCCAATTTGAATTTGTCTAATTGTTTCCTTACCTACATAGTGTTCTTGCCAGAAATGATTCATCATAATTAGAATTGGGTTAAATTACTTCAGCAGAGTAATATATAGGTGACATGCCCTTTTCAACGCATCACACTGGGGGCACGTGATGTCAGTCTGCCCCATCATCAATAAGATTCATGGCTTGGTAACGGCAGTATCTGTCAGGTTTCTCCCTCATAATTAAAAAGTAAATGGTGGGTCAGCCTGTAACCCATGGTTTTGCTCCCCAATAGTTTTTCACCTAGCATTTTAACAACAGTTTTCCTCAATAGTTTTTTCTCCAATACTTCCAGAATAGTTTGTCATCTAGTATCTTGCCTAAACAATTATTATGGTGGCTATAAAATCTAGATTTTTTAATTGCTAAAAACAATGGAGAAACAGGTAGAGCACAGAAGAAAAATGAAGCTATAAAATTTCATAAATTATGACAAAAAACTCACTGTAAACGTTAACATCAGGTATTCTTTAGAACAGTAATAAAATGCCAGAGAACTGTTGGTTATCATCAACCAAAAAACTTGTGCAAAAATATAATCAATGCACTGCTTCCTTCACTGAGACTGTCCTATATAAAAAAATATCAGCTGAACTAAACAGTGTGGGTAGTGACATAAGTTATTTACATCTGGGTTCAAGCTCCTAACAGCTGGGTAACAAACGGTTGGCAGGCAGGAAATGTATCCAGGGGACCAGATTTTATGTGGGACTGCTCTAGAATATAAAGTCAGAACCCGTATTTTATCACTTCCTCTCTCTATAACCATATTTTATCTTTTTTTCTTTTTTAACTCTACCTTCTAACCTTCTTTTAATTCCAGGGCTGATGCTCCAAAGCCTTCCCTTCTATTACTAAGATTCCCAGTTGTATGCAATTTCTTTTTTCACTTCGACAAGGTAAGAGAAGACAAGGTCTCATAAATGACAAGAGGGAACTTCTGGATTATAAGTTTAAAAAGTTTGCAAAAGTATACCCTTTTTTTATGTATTCAGAGAAAAAGAGAAGTTAGTATCTGGTTTTGGCTTTCACTGAACTTTTCCCTTCTTCCCAAGAGTACTGTAAGCTGTTATTTACTGTGGCATGGGTGGGGCAAGGAACACAAGAGTAGCAAGAGACAGGGAGATGAAACTGGGACAGGGAAGAAGGATGAAAAATGGGGATGTATCCTGCTGTTCGGCCCTTCCCATCATTCTGGCCTTCTTTCAAAAATCCCTCCAGAGGGGAGAAGCGGTGATCCATTAGGGGCTGAATGACAGGAAAGGAAAATCTCAAGCAATAGCTCTCATGGTTACTCTCTTACGTATTAAAATGTGAGGCATGTATGTCTGTTGTGAACCACTTATATTCCAACATGCTAGCCTAAGAATCCTTCAGGAGACTTAGCTAAAAGTAGATTTCTTTAATCTCTCTCCCAATTGCCTGTTATTAGTACAGTCTACAGCAGAGAGAGATTAATATAAAAATAATTCTTTAATCAGCTCACTGTTTTCTAATTCCTAAACACCTAAACCATTTCCAACAACCTCATTAAAGGTTCCAAGAATTTCTTACCATTTTTGCTTTCCTTCAAAATCAAAGAAGCTTGGTTTAGGAGTATTGCAATTTCCAACTTTGACCTAAATGAGGGAAGGAAAATCAAGAACTTATTTTTCAAAGAAACGTCTAGAAAACTTTTCCTTTTCAAATGTATTATGTATATTTAGTAACCATAGGTTGGAATATATTTGCACCTATACGGAACAGCAAAATTTAACATTCTTTGCAAAAGCAAACAAAAAACCCAAACAGAATCAAACATTGCATACAGGCTACTTTGGCTTACTGCATAAAACAACTATTATCTAATATTGTAATACAGAAAAACTGTGATAAATGGTTGCATTTCGAAGTCAGTAGACTATTTACGTAAGACAAGTTATCAATATACATTATATACTCTTTATTACCATGTATAAAGAATTTTTTAACACAGAATTAATAAGGTTTAGAATTCATAATTTATCAGAATTCATAACACTATTTCTTCATGCTGATTCTCGTAACTCTATTAGCATTTTATCTCTCCAAAATTTCAGGGGAAAAAGTGTACTACTTTTAAAATGCCCTATTAAGAAACTCATCAATATAAATTTGGATGCCAAAAGCCATGCAGAAAAATTTCAGGGGTTCTCAACAATACAATTCTATTTTTCTACAACAGTCTTATCATCTTTTGTTTGTGGTCAGTACTTAATTTTAATCCGCAAATGACATTTATAGTTAAACTGTACAGTGAATATTTTCATTGAGAATAAGCATAAACAAGTGCAGAATTCACTATACAGGCCCTGATTCCCACTGCCAGAAGTCATCTTCCTTCCTTAGAGCATTTACTCTATATATCTTTTATGGTACTTTTCACTTTTTCTACCATGTGTTAGAAAGTTTTGTGTAAAGTCTCATCTTTCTATTAGAATAGAGCCTGTAACTGTTCTTAACTCATCCACAGCACCTATCTACTTCTCAGGGATTTTCCCACTATCTCCCATTACTCTTCCACACTTGAATTCTGGTAAAATCTAACTGATGCCTTCATCTAACCAGAATGATCTACTGACTGCCTTAGGGATTCCTAGTTCAGGGTTTTGCTTGTCACTCCACTCACCTGAAACGCCTTTTCTTCTTTCCTCAGCTTTTAAGATGCTGCACGACCTTCCAGTTCTACTCAAATTTCAGATTCTAAGAACTCTTTCAGTCTACAATGATCTCATCTACCTCTGAATTCATAACAATTACCACCTCTATCATTTGCTTAGCAATTAATCGCATGGCCCTCTGCTGTTATTAAAATGTATACTTACATAGAAGCAGCCCTGTTATGATGGAACAGAGAGAAGAAAGGGTAAGAAGGAGCCACATTTCTTGAACAATCACCATAGACCAAACACTTCACATATTTTATCTCGAATGGGCCAAAAAATAATCCTGCTAGGTATGCCATTACAAACTCATTTTATAAATGAAGATAGAGAAGCTCAGGAGGGTTTGTCTCAGTTCACACATTAGTATATTCTTTAATTAGTAGTCTGGATTTAAATCCAAGAGTGTTTGACTCCAAAGTTCAATACCCCTTTACTACATCATTCTGTCTTAAATGATAAATAGAGTCTGGGATTCAATTCTGGACTCTCTAAAATCACATGAACTACCAGACGGTTAGAAATATTAAATGAGATAAATTATACAAACTTCAAGACATCATAAAAATAGCAGTTATAACTATTTTTGTTTTTTATCCAGACACCATCCAGTGGCAGAAACAAATGCCAATAGTTCTCCTTCATTTCTCCTGTAGTAACAGAAGTCTCAGCTGGACACATGATCATCTAGCTAAACATTACACATGGCCATCCAGCTTCTGCCTAGGTTCTGGGGACTGGATGTGTGGAAAAGTGATACAAATACCTTCCTTAAAAAGAAAAGGAGTTTGTCTTCCCCTTTCCCTTTGCCCTGGATATGATATACATGTGGTGATGGTAAGCCACCTCTGACCATGAAAAAGGAACTTAAGGCAGCAGTTTTCAAATTTTTTAGTCTTATAATCCCTTTACATTCTCAAGATCCTAAAGAGCCATCATTTATATGAGTTATATCTATCGATATTTACCATATTAGAAATTAAAACTGGGACATTTAAAAAATGTGTATTAGCTCATTTAAAAATAATAAATCCATTAGATGTTAACATAAATAACATTTTATGCAAAATAACTACATATTCTAAAAAAATTAGTGAGAAAAGTAGCACTGTTTTACATTTCTTAATTTTTTTAATGTCTCGCTTAGAAGCCAGTTGCATTTGCATATCTACTGCTGCATCCAATCTACTGCAATATGTTGTTTTGGTTGAAGTATATGAAGAAAATTCAGCTTCACGCAGATATGTTGTTAGAAAAGAGAGAAGTATTTTAGCAGCATTTTGAGATAGTTGTAGATATTCTTCTTTGATACTATGCCAAAACCTAACAGATGGTAGTTTCAGGTCAGTTGCAATGAGGAATCTGAACTCATATCAATGAATTTTTCATACTGTTAACACTGAAATCCATTGGTCTGACTTGCACTTTGAAAGGCATCTTTTATCAACACATGATTTGTAACATCATTCCATGAAATATTTAGAAAATATGGTTTACTGAGTTACACAGACTTTTCAAATGTTGACACATTTCATGATATAATAGCAAACGTTCACATTCATGACTGTCACCACTTATCTCATCAAAAAAAGTTTTTAAGTACTGGGAAGCTGTCAAGCTCACAGTGGCAGATACAGATTTTCCAAACTTCTCATTTTCACTTGAAAGCTCAAATGTTATTACTGGCAACAAATACTTTGAGTTGTTTTCCTTGAAGTGACAGGCTTATTTCATTCATTTTCAAGAAACTACCTGCCAAATACCCAAATTTGAGTAGGTATAATTATCTGTGAGTTGTTCTGTTAAGTAAAAATGGAAAAAAGTATATAGTTCATTTTGCAACTCAGAAATTACACAAGTGCTTTTCCTCAAAATAGTTAACATAATTCAGTATGCAGCAGAAGTATTTTGTGTGTACTTCCCATCTCATCACACAAAATTTAAGACTTGACTCAAGGGTTAATATTTAATAAAGTGGTATTAAGGCACGGTGGTTCATGTCTGTAATATTAGCACTTTGGAAGGCCTAGGCGGGCGGATCACCTGAGATCAGGAGACCAGCCTGGTCAACCATGGCCAACATGGTGAAACCCCATCTCTACTAAAAATACAAAAATTAGTCGGGCGCGGTGAGAGACACCTGTAATCACAGCTACCCAGGAAGCTGAGGCAAAAGAATCATTTGAATCTAGGAGGTAGAAGTTGCAGTGAGCCCAGATCACGCCACTGCATTCCAGCCTGGATGACAGAGCAAAACTCCGTCTCAAAAAAAAAAAAAAAGTATTATTAAATAGTATCTCATGAAGTCAACAGGAATTCACAAATTTTCATTACTCTCCAGTTTTCACAGCTGTCAATTAGCTATCTTTAGGAGGGAGAGTGTAGGCTGATGTAGAGAGCGACCAAAAAACTGTTCATTCATTTGATTTTGTTGAAACTTTATTGAAAGATTATTTTGAAGCCATAGGCTTATCTGAGACTAATAAAGCTATGACGCTAAGTAAATTTAGAGTTCTCCCTGAGAAAATAAGGTTCATATCTTAGCTTATTTATTATCTTCCTGCCAACAACCTCATCCAGCCTACAAAATAGGCTGCTATTCTGAATACAAAATGTTATTTTATGATAAATTTTGATACAATATGCAGAAATGATATTGGACTTTCAACTTTATTATTCTATCAAAGATGCTATTCTTAATGTTATCTCAGAATTTTGTCAAAAATAAAATATTTAGGAGACTGATGAAAACTGTGGCCCAGTGTCGTATCTAAGCAAGCATATTATTTCCTAATAATGCAGAATTTTATTTGCAGATACAGAATATCTCTGAACACCCTAAAGTCAAGTTCTTGAAAGGATGAGGCACATTCCTCCTTCATATTATCTGAATGAAGTGAGTATACCTGAGACAGAATGGTTCCCAAGTTGATAGGTTACTACAGTTCACTCATGACTTAGAAATAGAATACTGAATAATGATGACACCGATATCAATAAATAAAGATATGTCCTAGAAGAAAAAAGAATATTTTCTAGGGAATTTGGGGAAAGTTAGTCTCATACTGCCCAGAGAATCATCAGACATATTACAAGTCCTAATACGATTCTCGATAAGTATTTGTTAAATAATCAAAAGTTTCACTCTAATGTTATCCGGACAAAGTATAATAAATGACCAAAGAGAAAACACATATCAAGAACTTTTCCCAGAAAGCTAATTCCAAGTCCAACTTGGAGGTAATTTTCATTCAACACTATAATTTATACCGTTTGTTCCTACAGCTTTATCTCTCAGGTCAATGTTTAACTGACATTCATAATAATGAACATCAACCTTCAAAACAAGGTTCATCTCTACTCAGTATATCCAGTTTAAGAACACAGTGGGGCTGGGCATGGGGGATCATGTCTGTTATAACAGTACTTCGGGAGGCTTAAGCAGGAGGATCCGCTTGAAGCCAGAAGCTCAAGACTGTAGTGAGCAATGAGTGTGTAACTGCCCTCCAGCCTGAGCAACGGAACAAGATCCCATCTCTAAAAAAAATTTTTTAGTTAAAAAAAAAAAAGGAATACAGCAGGCCTCTCCCCCAACTTATTTTTCCTTTAACAAATACAGGGGAAAATATGTAACTATGTCAAGAGGCAAAAAGAAAAAAAGGTTATACATTTTTAATAAAACAAAATAGGCTATTATCCAGAATTTCATTTCCTCCAGTGTTCCAAAGAGCTGTAATTTTCCTGAACTGTTATTTAACTCTTGTCAGCAATTTTTCAGGTGTGTTCAAACCTAGATTCCTCAAGTACTTTGTAAGTCTCTCAAAAGCAAATGTCGGCCGGGCACGGTGGCTCACGCCTGTAATCCCAGTACTTTAGGAAGCCAAGGCAGGCAGATCACCTGAGGTCAGGAGTTCAAGACCAGCCTGGTGAACATAATGAAACCCTGCCTCTTCTAAATATACAAAAAATTAGCCGGGCATGGTGGTGGGCACCTGTAATCCCAGCTACTTGGGAGGCTGGGACAGGAGAATTGCTTGAATCCGGGAGGCCGAGTGAACCAAGATCTAGCCACTGCACTCCAGCCTGGGCAACAGAAACGAAACTCCGTCTCAAAAAAAAAAAAAAAAAAAACAAGTGTCAGCCAGCAAAATGGCTCATGCCTGTAATCCCAGCACTTTGGGCAGGTGGATCGCCTGAGCTCAGGAGTTCAAGACCAGCCTGGGAAATGTGGCAAAACCCAAACTCTCTGTGGGGAAAAAAAAAAAAAATTGTGAGTGTCATGTTTTTCCTTCTCTGCAGGCATTATATCCAAGTGTCTCGCACATAAAAGCTGCTGAACAAATATATGTTGCTTATGACAAAGCAATTATTTCCCTTCTGGTACCTAACCAATGTCAACCTGAATTATAAATTAACATGTCTATACATCTCCCTATTTCCAGGTAAAGTTCACAGCCTTAGACTGAGTCAGGAGCTACAATCCAGTTCTGACTGATATATCTGTATGACCCTAGGCAAGCTGCCTACTCTCTGTGGCCTTCAGTTTCCTTTTCTGTAAAAGAAGGGCATTATTTCATCTGGTGTTCATAGCTCTCAAATTTTTAGATTGTATCAAACGGAAAAGAGACATATTCAACGAAAACATAAGTCAAAGATATTGAGGATTTTATAAAAATCACAAAAGTTGCAATACTGTATTTTGCATTGCATCACATTATTATTATTATTTTATTTTATTTTTTTTTTGAGGCGGAGTTTCGCTCTCGTTGCCCAGGCTGGAGTGCAATGGCGCGCAATCTCGGCTCACCGCAACCTCCGCCTCCCCGGTTCAAGCGATTCTCCTGCCTCAGCCTCCTGAGTAGCTGGGATTAGAGGCATGCGCCACCACGCCTGGGTAATTTAGTAGAGACGGGGTTTCTCCATGTTGGTCAGGCTGGTCTCGAACTCCTGACATCAGGTGATCCGCCCGCCTCGGCCTCCCAAAGTGGTGGGATTACAGGCGTGAGCCATTGCGCTCAGCCCTGAATCACATTATTACAATCCTATTATATTCTTGGATCTCAATATAGTTTAATTAACTTTACCATGTTTACTTCCATGTGGCCCTTTGGAAAGAGTAAATGAATGATAAATCTTATTTTATCTTCATTTTGTAAAGGTTCTTAAGCTGGTAAAATGCAAGATCACTGCATAGGTCAGAGAAAAAAACCAGAAAAACAGTGTCTAGTGCCCAGCTAAATAAATATCACTCCTAGGAAAGCAAACATCTTTTCCACGTTCAGGATGATGCTCCGTATCTTTCTCCCCCATCCACCCTTTCCCTGCTACTTTACCTGTTTGTACCTGGCATACAGATACAGAAGCTGCTCCCTGCTGGCCACCTGAATTAGGCCTTGCAGGTGCGCGGCAGCCTTCTCAAACAGCTCGGCCAGGCAACTGGACTCCTCGATCTCACGGCTATGGGGGAACTCCACCTCCCCGGAGTCGTCCCCTGAGCTCAGTTCTCCACCGCTGTCGCCGGTGGTGGCCCCCGCGGGCAGGAATGATGAAGCCATGTCTCCTTGCTCGCTCCGTCCCTCTGCGTCCGGTGTGTCCTCCTTGGATCGGGTGTAAGGCCGGCTTGGAGGCCTGGCCCACCAGTCTGGGTCCCGAGCCTGAGCTCCAGTCGGACCCAAGCTCAGTCGGGGCGCGCTCCCTCACGTAACCCTGCTCCCTGCCCGCTTCTACTCCCTGGGCGTGCAGAGCAGGCTTCCCGACCCTCTGCCGCTCTGCCCAGTCGACCCGGTCTCCTCTGGCTTCCCTCCGGCCAACAGCTCGCTAGTGCTCGCCTGAGGCCCCTCCAACGGAACGAGGGTCGAGGGCCAGGGAGGCGGGGGCGGGCGAGCGCGGGGCGCGGCTGGCTACGGGCCGTGGGGGCGGGGCGGCATGCGTGCCGGCGGCGTGAGCTTTTGTGGGGCCTGCTCTGCGCCGGCGGGGAAGCGTGGGAGACGCTACGCTGGACGCCTTTCCCTGCCGGAGGAGAGAAAGTGTCGTCCGCTGTTTGGGCGTCTCTTAATCGTTTCGCTGAAATTAGCAGTCCCGAACTCCGGAGCCCGGCACTGGCACGGGCCCCTGGGGGTGGGGGAAGGAGGCCGTCTGTGTGGTAGTGTAGCGGTGAGAGCGGAGTCGCGGGAAACGCGGGGCTGAGGACTAAGGTTCCGCCTGCCCCGGATTGTGCGCCTCAAGCGCCTCCAAACAGCCCTGCGCACGGATCTGTTGCCTGCGCGTTGGGCTCTGTGTTGAATAATGGAAAACTGCAGGATCGGGCTGTCCCGCCCTACCGTGTGACTGATGAGTGGAATCACTCTGCGTGTTTCGCTCTCCACACTTTCGGATTCCGCACTTCTCCGGGCCCTGATAATAGGGTTTGGGGGGTGCGGGGCGCGCCTTAGTCCAGTTCTCATGCCGAGCTGTGCATTTGACACTGTGGTTTGTAGACACTATGAAGTGAAACCGGAAGTACGCCCAGAGGAACGTACAAAACTGTTTTTTTTAACTATAACATTATGAGTGGTTATGTCCTAAACGTTAAACACAACGCACTATATATTCATTTAGTACTCAAACAATGTAATAAGCACTATAAAGGTACAAAGGAAGTGTTATAAAGAGTGGTTATTGACTGGGGTTAGGCTTGTGACGGGTGGACAGATGGCTGGACAGGATGAGGAATCTATGAGAGAACACAGGAAGGTGAGAAAGCTTGCATCAGGATTCAACAAACATTACTTAAGTCTGCAGAAAATTCCGCTGTTAGTGTCAGGCCTCTGAGCCCAAGCCAAGCTATCACATCCCCTGTGACTTGCGTGTCCGCATCCCCTGTGACTTGCACGTATACGCCCAGATGGCCTGAAGTAACTGAAGAATCACAAAAGTGAAAATGCCCTGTCCCGCCTTAGCTGATGACATTCCACCACAAAAGAAGTGAAAATGGCCAGTCCTTGCCTTAAGCGATGACATTATCTTGTGCCTGGCTCACCCTGGCTCAAAAAGTTCCCCCACTGAGCACCTTGTGACTCCCACTCCTGCCCGCCAGAGAACAACTCCCCTTTGACTGGAATTTTCCTTTACCTACCCAAATCCTATAAAACGGCCCCACACTTATCTCCCTTCGCTGACTCTCTTTTCGGACTCAGCCCACCTGAACCCAGGTGAAATAAACAGCCATGTTGCTCATACAAAGCCTGTTTGGTGGTCTCTTCACACAGACGTGCATGACATTTAGTGCCTGCTGTCAAGGTGCTCACAATCCAGTCAAAGGGATGTTTAATGACCAAATTCTTGCGATTAAAAAGTGATTAAGAATAATGTATATAATGTATTGAGGACTTGATCCTTACAACGTAAGGTAGGTACTCTTATTTTAGACATAGGAAATCAGCACAGAGTGGTTAACTTGTCAAAGGATGCACAGCTAGCAAATGGAGGAGCAAGGAAAAAGAAGTTAGCCTGCATATGGGGTAATAATGGATGATGAACCCGAAGAGTTGACTGAAGGAGAGATAACATGGACTTTTATATCTTTCTGTTTCTCTAATTTTTATTAAAGTGAGAATTGAATATTAACTGCTTTTTTGGCATCTTTGGAGATTATCTGCTTTTCTCTAGTCTTCGAAAGGAATTATATTAACAGTTTCTATTTTAATGAATTATATTAACAAAAATAAATTTGGGATTTAATGAATTATATAATAGCTAACATTGATATATTAATATGCATTAATTCAAAACCTCCTAGTTTTGAGCATTACTTCTGTTCTTGGAACTTTTTTAAAAAGTTATTTGTAGGTTCAGTTTGCTAATATTTTCATTATCTTTACATCTCCATTTAAAGATGTGATTAACCTATAGTTTTCCTTTTCTATACTTTCTCAATTTTGTGTCAAGGTAATAGAATCCTTGTAGAATGCATTTAGAAGTTTTCATCTTTTTCTGTATTCTGGATGAGTTTACATAACTTGGGAAAGAGAGCAACCAGAATTGTTTTACACTGCTGGTGTGAGCATAAATTGATACAATCATTGTGGAAAAATGTTTGGCACTATCTACTAAAGCTGAGCATAAACATATAGCAATTCGACTCCTCCCCAGTGGGAATATGTACATGGCATTCACCAAAGACACGTAGGAGAACATTCATAGCAGCACTATGAACTAATTCCTAATTGCTCCAAACTGGAAGCTCCCGAATGTCCATCAACACTAGAATGGATAAACTGTGGTGTGTTTACATGATGGAACACTATTCATCAGTGAGAATGAACTAATTACAATGACACAGAACAACATGAATGAATCTCAAACATAAATGTTGAATTCAGGAGGCCTGTACTCAAAACAGTACATATTATAGGTTTCTAGTCATAAAAAATTCAAAATCAGGCAAAACTAATCTGTGGTGTTAGACTCAGGATAGTGGGTAACCTCAGGGTTAGTGATCTGAAGGGCACATGAAGGGAACTTCTGGTATTTGGATATGTTGTTTCTTACGCCAGACATTAGTACACTGATGTGTTTGTTCACTTTATGAAAATTCATTTATAATTTATGTACTTTATGTATACATTTGAATGAAAAATTTATTATAAAAATAACGTGTAAGAAAGAAAAAGGAAAGGGTCCTTAACATTCAGAAGCTGACCGGCCCTCACAGCTAGGCCTTGTTATTCTCCTATTGGATAGAAATAATCTCACAAAATAGCAACCGCAGACAAGGTCACTCTGAAATCATGATACAATGATACAAAGCAAACCACTTCATCAAGCTTTTCTAAGCACAGGCAAAAAGCTCACTTTACTGACTGCAAAACACAACATCTTTTTCTTGGCCCAAACAAATTACTACTACTACTTTACAAATTGTAGCTTTATTCTCATGCTAGTCTCTTCTCTATAGGTAAGACTGAGATGCCCAAGATCTCAATCTTGTTATAGTGGGTAGCTAGTCAGGAATGAGCAGGGCAGGAGAGGGCTCCCCACCACACGCACATATCAGGAATGTTAGGCAACCTTCAGGTGATGGTCAAGCGGTTGTTAACGGTCTCACTAAAATAATAATTGATCACAGCTGGCACCAGGGACTAGCCATCTCCTGATAGAAAACACCTGAAACGAGTGATCAGCAGCTTCCCGATAAGATCTCAGGAGTGGGGTGAGTAGGCTCAAGCATGCGCATGCGGACTGAAGGAGTGGCCTGCCCCTCCACACCTGTGGGCGTTTCTCCTTAGGTGGAAGGAGAGACTTGAGAAAAGAAATGAGACACAGAGACAAAGTATGGAGAAAGAAAAAGTGGGCCCAGGGGACGGGCGCTCAGCACACAGAGGACCCGCGCCGGCACCGGTCTCCGAGTTCCCTCAGTATTTATTGATCATTATCTTTACCATCTCGGAAAACCAGAAGTGGCAGGATAGTAGGATCATAGTACAGAGTAGGTCAGCAGAAAGACATATGAATAAAGTTCTCTGTGACAGGAATAAGTTTAAGGAAAAGTGCTGTGCCTTGATATGCATATGCAAACATCTCCATAAACCTTTTTAGTGCATAAAGAGCAGCATTGCCACTAGCAAGTCCCACCTTCAGCCCTAAGG